CCCTCAACCTTAGGGTCCAGCGCTGCTTCCTGCTCCCAGCCCACTGGAGCTAGAGGTGTTTCTTCACTCAGGCAGCTGCTGGCTGCTGAGGCTGCCAAGCCCAACGTTGACAAGTAACAAGGCACAGTTCTGATATTACCAAATCACATGGCAGGTCATTAATTCAAGTCCACTGTAAGTCCCAGACAAGCACAAGATCTTTTCCCCAGGAAAAGTGATGGTCTCTGGAGAGGACAGATGCTGTCAGCCCATCTCTACCCTTAGAAGACAAAGCTCCACAAAATAGTTGACCAGGAGGTAAATCAGAGAGGTTCTTCTATACCTTAGGAAAAGTCTATTGGATGGTGGGACCCATAGATAGTGTGTGTCCCAGGTACTCATTGTCCCCTTAGGATGAATTTGTCTATGAGAAACAGAACTAAACTAAAAGTGGCTTCAACAGCTTGGACATTCATTGTCTCAGTAACAGGAAGACAGGATTCTCAGCTGAACCTGAATCCACTTTCAGTTCAGCAGGTCACAAAGGCCACCAAGGACCTAGGCTCTTTCATCTGTCATGCTGGTCCCTTGTCTACAGTGACTCCTTGTGTGGCACAACATGACTGCCCAAGCGGCACATTTTCACAAGCCATGTTCAGAACAGGAAAGGAAGGTTTTTCTCATCACCTGTCTCTTTTCATTAGGGAGCAACATCTATCCCATTAAGCCTCTGACCAATTTGCCCACAAGTCTTATTGTCCAGGACTTGGTCATATTTCCAAAGCAACCACAGACCATGAGGAAAGGGTCAACCCAATAGACTCAGGTTACACATGCTACATCACCTGGGCCTGTAGAAGGGGCTTTTTATGGCCCAATCAACATCCAGGTGATGTTAGCCTGGGAAAAGGTGTGGAATAAAGGAGTGGGAGGAGAAATGGCTATCGGTCACACAACAAACATTGGCCACACTTAGCTACTTCCCATCCACTGTAACCAAAAAGGAGCTCTGGTAGTATAGTGCCTAAGGCATCTGACTGCTAACCAGAAGGTTGGTGGTTCAAGCCCACCAGCCACTTTACAGAAGGAAGATTGGACAATATATTTCTATAAAGATTTATTGCCTCAGAAACCCAAAGGGAGTCACTATGAATTGGATTCAACTCGGTGGCAGCAATTTTGGTTTTATTGTTTTTGTTTTTGTTTTTCAAACCAAAAAAGTTTGCTATAGAGCTGCAGAGATGTCAGAACCAGTCCTCAAAAAAAATCTGTTCAGTAATGGCTCAAGCTCACTGTTGTCAAGTCAGATCCAATTCATAGCGACCCCTCCTTGGGTTTCTGAGGTGGCATCATTATAGAAGTATATTGCCCAACTTTCCTTTCAAGGAGTGGCTGGTGGGTTTGAACTACCAGCCTTCTGGTTAGCAGTCAAGTGCTTTAGGCACTACACTACCAGAGCATCCTTGTTTTCACCACACTTTCTCACTTATTCAAGTTTTTTAAGAATCCTAAGAGCTAGACCTAATGCAGCCACTTGCCCCATTTTCTGGATGAAGAAACTGAGTTTCAGACGGGTAAGTGAGTTGAAAACGGTTTCCCAGGTGGTCATCGGCAATGTGAGAATCAGAATCTGTATTCCTGAAATTTAGAGCAAGGGGTCCTTCCACTCACTGTTCCGGACTGATGATCCCCGAAGTTTCATCAGGAAGTCAGAATAGGAAGAAAGGTCTGATGATCTACTTCTGCAAATCAGTCAACAAAAATCCTATGGATCACAATGGTCCGATCTGCAACTGACCATGTAGACATCTCGGGACCGGGCAGCTCTGTTCCACTGTGCATGGAGTCGCCATGAGCCAGGCAAGGGCCAACTCAACAGCAGCGAACAACACTCTAGTACTACACACGTGCTTCATTTTACTGTGCTTCGAAGATATTGCCCCCCCCCCTTTTTTTAACAAATTGAAGGTTTGTGGCAACCCTGCATTGAGTAAGTCTATCAGCAACATTTTTTTCCCCAACAATACGTGCTTACTTCATGTCTCTGTATCACATTTTGGTAATCCTCACAATACTTCAAACTTTTTTCATACATTATTGCACACTTAATAGACTACTATTCTATATGCAGTAACTTCTGTATGCACTGGGAAACCAAAAAATTCATATGACGTGCTTTATTGTGATTTTTACTTGATTGCAGTGTTTTTGTTGTTGTTGTTATTTGCCGTTGAGTCAGCCCTGACTCATAGCGACCCCTCCTTGGGTTTCCGAGGCAGTATTACTATGGAAGTAGGATTGCCCAACCTTCCTTCTGAGGAGTGGCTGGTGGGTTTGAACCGCCAGCCTTCTGGTTAGCAGTCAAGTGGTCTGTAGCAAACCTGCAATATCTCTGAGGTATGCTTGTGATATGAGAATACTATTAATATCAGAAATAGCATGTGGGCTCCACTGGTAGTGTTCCAAGCCCCCTTCTCTACCCTCATCCCAAGAAGAACCACAGTAGAGAGAAAGATCACCACCAGGGGCCTTACCAACTTGCAGCGGGGCCAGCCATATCTCAGATCAGTGACAAACTTCTCACTGTTCTCACATAAAACTTTGTACATCTTCTTGTCACCAATCATTTTCTTCGCAGAACTGATGATCTTATCAACAGGCTGTGGCCGGTACTGATGGTCCAAGTGGTTGTTGACCCGGTAGAAGCACCCCCATCCCACGTCCCCCAGGGGATCCTTCGCCACCACAGCCTTGCAGCTCAGAAATGTGAACATTTTGGAAGAACCAAACCTGGGAAACTCGCCTGGAAATCAAGGAGAGACAGCAGGGTAGGTGCAGTGGGCAGACAGAAGGTAGGAGAAAAGAAAAATAACCAAAGACACCAATTATTGAGCTTTAGATGCTTAACTTTTGGAGGAGTCACTGATCTTATTCTTTTTCTTAATAAGATGTTGCGAATAATGTTTTGTTGCTGTTAGCTGTCATTGAGTTCCCTCTGACTCATGGCCACATTACATATAACAGAATGAAACACTGCTGTGTTCTATAACATCTTCATGATTGTTGTTCTGTTTCGGCTATTGTGTCAATTCAGTTTTACATGCCATCAAATGTCACGATTGTCAGTGGCTGGCATAGTGTTCATAGTGTTGTATTATATGCATGCAAACAATTTATTTGACCAGTTCTCTATTACTAGGCATCTGGAGTGCTCAAAAAATGTTATCATTATAAACAATGCTATTAGAAACATACTACATATACTTGTTCATCTTTATACATTTGTGTGATTCAGGAAAGGATCAATTTTTTTGATAACTACTGTGCTTACTCAATCTTTGGAGCTATTTTTCCTGTGTTACCTAATTTAATTCTCTTTCTGCCCTTCAAGTTACATATTATCATCTTCTAGGAGCTCTGGTGGTATAGTGCCTAAGGCGTTTGACTGCTAATCTGAAGGCTGGTGGTTCAAACCCACCAGCCACTCCTCAGAAGGAAGGTTGGGCAATCTACTTCCATAGAGACACCGACTTGGAAACCCAAGGAGGGGTCACTATGAGTTGACTTGACTTGACC